TTCCAATTACATAAATAGCGCCAAGACAATGGAACAAAGAACATTTAGAACACATCTAACAAACCTGCACATATGTAATACACAGAGATACATACAAAATAAGTTAAATTATGACCAGACCAAGCCAAAAGCACCACCATTGAGTCAATTCTGCCTCACAGTGACCATATAGGGCAGAGGGTTTTCAAGACTGTATATCTCTTCAGAGAGTAGAAAGCCTCATCTTCTCCCATGGAGTCACAGGTGGTTTCAAACTGCTGATCTTGTGGCTAGCAACCCAACATGTATCTACTACTCCACCAAGACTCCTCAAATTATGACTGTAAATTCATACCAGAAATTCAACCAATATAAAAACTGTCCTACTTATCTGGCCTAATTTTTTTCCCAATAATAACCCTAGAGAAAATCTCTAGTTCTTATAAAAGCTCTTTTTAAGTTCTTTTTAGCTTTAATAATTTGGCTAAATATACAAACTAGTATAAAAATTCTCTAGTGGCATTTATATATTACAGCTTTAGTCTAAATAGTCAAAGGAAAATTGGTCAAAATAAACTAAGCAAAATACATTGGGTATCTATAAAACCCCATCTCCAATGTTAGAATAGAATAGAATCATATATTATTATTCACATTCTAGAGACTAGCAACTTTCTGAAACAGATAATCTTACAGAAGAAATGCAAATTGAATACGTATACTCTAACAGTTAAATTAAGTGACAGCCTTCCTGTCAAAGGAGAGTAAACAGAACCAAGCATTTCTTCAGTTATTTCTTTATAAACCTTGGAGGTTCTCAAAATAAGAATTTTACATGCAAATACAATTTGAAGCAAATGCAGAGAAATTAAGAGAATTAAAACCCAACTTCTCCATGAACGAAGCACACCATTCAGTGCGATCATGAGGTGTCATTGGGACTGGGTAACAGGCATCAGAAAATTCATAACAAACAACAAACAAACAAAAATGTGTTGGTGAGAATGAGGGGGTCAGAGCAGAGACCCAAAGCTCATCTGTAGGCAATGGAACATCCCCCCCACAGAGAGGTCACAGGGAAGGGATGAGTCAATCAGGGTGCGGTAGAGCATCAATGGATCACTCAACATACCTCTGGTTCCTTGAGGCTTCCTCACCCCCCACTATCATGACCCCAGTGCTGCTTCCCACTCTGGAGTGGACTGGAACATGTATATAGGTATAGACAAGAGATAAAGCGCACGACACACAGAACCCAGGAATAGGAATGGAAATAGCAATACCAGAAGGAAGTGGGGAGGAAGGAAGTACCAATCGCAAAGAATGGCACATAACCACACACACCCCTCCAAGAGGAAGAACAACAGAAACCAGAAGGGAAAGGAGACAGCAGTCGGTGTGAGATATGAAAATAACAACAATCTATAATCAAGGGGCCATGAGGTGGGGGGGCGGGAAGGGAAAAGAAGTTGATCGCAAGGACTCAAAAGAAAGTAAATGTCTAGAAAAGAATAATGGCAATATATGTACAAATATGTCTGATACAACTGATGTATGGACTGCAACGAGTTATATGAGCCCCCAATAATATGATCTTTAAAAAAACAACAACCGACTTCTCAAGTAATATTTAAAATGGAGTTAAAACTGCATTAGCTGAAAATTTTTGGTATTAATGAACATTAAAAAATTCATTTTTTATCAATAAATCATGTTATTGGGGGCTCATACATTTGTTATTGCAGCCCATACAGCCATTATATTAAGTGGATATGTACAAGTTTTGCCATAATTCTTTGTTTTATCATTTTATTGGGGGCTCGTACAACTCATCATAATCCATACATACATCCATTGTGTCAAGCACATTTGTACATTTGTTATCCTCATAATTCTCGAAACATTTGCTTTCTACTTGAGCCCTTGGCATCAGCTCATTTTTTCCCCTCCCTCCCCGCTCCCCACTCCCTCATGAACCCTTGATAATTTATAAATTATGATTATTTTGTCATATCTTACACTGTCCGACGTCTCCCTTCAACCACTTTGCTGTTGTCTGTCCCACAGGGAGGAGGTTATATGTAGATCCTTGTAATTGAGTGTTCCTTTCCACCTCACCCTCCCTCCACCCTCCTGGTACTGCCACTCTCACCACTGGTTTTGAAGGGATCATCTGTTTTGGATTCCCTGTGTTTCCAGTTCCTATCTGTACCAGTGTACATCCTCTGGTCTAGCCGGATTTTTAAGGTAGAATTGGGATCATGATAGTGGGGTAAGAGGGAGCATTTAGGAACTAGAGGAAAGTTGTATGTTTCATCATTGCTATACTGCACCCTGACTGGCTTGTGTCCTCCCAGCGATCCTTCTGTAAGGGGATGTCCAGTTGCCTACAGATGGGTCTTGAGTCCCCAATCTACACTCCCCCTCATTCACAATGATTTTTTTTGTTCTTTGATAACTGATCCCTTCGACACTCATCATCACACAGACTGGTGTGCTTCTTCCATGTGGGTTATAATTCATTTTTAATATCTAATTTAGACTTCAACTTTCCTTTAATAAAAAGAATAAAACACACACACAGACCCACACAAACACAAAATGACTGTCTGCCATGAAGTCTATTCTAACTCATAGTGACACTACAGAGCTGCTTCTCTGGTTTCTGAAGCTATACATCTTTACGGATGCAGACAGCCTCATCTTTCTCCTGTGGAGCAGCTGGTGGTTTTGAACTGATGATCTTGCAGTTAGCAGCTATACCACCAGTGCTCCTTAAAAAATAATATATTCTCAGAAAAAAATCATTTCCATATATTTTAGAATTTAAATATATATCAGAAACACTACTACAAAGGAAATACTACTATGGTATGAAAAAAAAAATCTTTGAAATGTATGGACACAAGCTCTAGCTGTATTACCCTTAAGGAGCCCTGGTGGCATAGTGAGTTACAGCTTGAGCTGCACATGTTGAGCTGCTAACTGGAAAGTCAGTAGTTGAAACTGACCAGCTGAACCTCACAAGAAAGGTTTCTGCTCCATTAAAGTTTTACAGCCTCAGAAACCCATGCAGGCGGTTCTACATTGACCACAGGGATGCTATTAATCAGATCGACTTGATGGTAATTGTTTTTTCTTTTTTATTTTGAGATATATAACATCATTTCCTTTATTCTTTCTTTTATTATATGAAATGGGCTAAAGTTGTATTTTTTAGTAATATACCTAACTGAAAATAAGGTATACCAGATAATCACAGATATTTCGTCTAAATTCTAAGTAACTATTTTAAAATATAGATGTGTATTGCTAGCTAGACACTGATTAACATCTGCTTTATATTCTTTTGATTCTAAATAAAGATTTGAAACCTAGAACCTAAATGAATAATGGGAAAAATATTAACATTTTATTTATGCCATCACTAATTTAATGTTTTCTTTTCCCCTTTTTGGATAAGATACAAGAGCAAATAGAGAACTTTTTAAAGTATACAGTCACCACCAAAGAAGAATTTGGAAAATAGAGAACAAAAATGACCTTTACCAATAGCACAAGTATTACAACTAATCAGACATTTCTTATGCAAGGAAACCAAGAATTGAAAATTTCAAAATTAATTTTGTTTGGGGTATGTATCTCAATACAAATCTGAATGTTCATATTCCTAGTGTTCAAATTAAATAATGAAAACATTTTCTGAAAACATGGCTCAGAAGTACTGATGATAGCTTTCCGTAAGTCCTATTGCTCTTTAATTCTCCAAACAACCTTACTGCAAGCCTACCCTAAATGGAGACAAAAGGAATAGCTGACCAAGAATTTAGAGTTCAGGAAAATTGCCTCTACAAAAAACTGAAATTCATTTTCAGAAGAGTTTCATTTAAAACCCTTTATGAGACATTTCCTAGCCTTTTCAAAAACCAACTTGGATTTTAAGAGCATCAAGCCCAAATCATAATTGTGTATTTGACAAGTGTTCAGATAGTCTCCTCATTATACCAAAAAAAAAAAAAAAAACCAGAAACAAAAATCAGTGCCATCAAATGACTCCAATTCATAGCAAGCCTATGGAGCAGGTTAAAACCGAGCCTATGGGTTTCTGAGACTCTCTACGGGAATAGAAAGCCTCTTCCGTCTCCTGAGGAGCAGCTGGTGATCTTGAACTGCTGGCTTTGTGGAATACAGTTCAACTTGTAAGCACACCAGCAGGGCTCCTTTCCATAGTACATGGGGTTTATCAGTTTGCGGAAGTGATAATTATATTCATTATTTACATAATTGTGTTGATTTGTATTTTCTGCTGTTGAGTTCTTTTGCTGTAAGTCAACTCCATAAACATTGAAGAATATGTTAATTTTAGAAGTAGCTATGTATCCTTAAGGTAAATACATAAAATTTATCTTACATAATTTTTTCAGGAATAAATTACCCTCCTAAATTAAATACTAAGAAAAAAAGAACATTGCCATTGAGTCAATTCCTACTCCAGGGCTGTAACTACCATGGAATCAGAGGCCCATAGCTTTCTCCCACCTAGCAGCTGATGAGTGTCAACTGCTGACCTTTTCATGGGCAATCAAGCTCTTTAACCACTGTGCCATCAGTGCCCCACCTAAAATGGATAGACTATTTATTAATTGGAATCTATAAGATCAAAATAATACTAAAGAAGAAAATATATAAATCTGCTTAGTGAATACACTATTGGATTCTACCACAAATTTACTTAACTGGACAGAGTTGTGAGTTTCTTAGTTACAGGACTTTGGAGAGCCTCAAAAGAAAAAAATATATATTTATGAGTGTTTTAAATTAGATCAATGGGAAAGACTAAAGGAGTGGGCTTAATTCTGTAAAAACATAGATTTAATATAGTCCTGGTTTGAAAAAAAAAACATCAGGCCCGACTACCTGCCATCAATAGAACCCAGAAGAGTCTTTTCCCATGCTACCCTCTCAATTTGGTTAGATTAATATTCAGTGCTCCCATTACTATGACGATGGAAAAAGCTCACCTCTAGGTGGACTCCGGCTGCCAACCTTTTGGTTCATCTTGTGCCTGAGAATTTTAATGATAGCTTCATCTATGTGTTTTGAAGTTTTGTTTCCTTGCAGAGTCTGAGTTAGTATTAGCCCCTTCTGTTTATTTGTAGCTGCATCTCACGTCATTAGAAGACTTCCTCAGATGTCAAGGAACCCTGGTTTTTATTCATATTTAACTATAAGGAATGGAAAAGGTGGCCTGAAACTCTGAACCCTTAGGTGGAGCCCACTGATAATGAACTTCATTGTAGTGTGATGGCCTATGTCCTTTGTTGAGAAAGCCCTTATCTGTATCTTTTTGTATTTCTTCTTGGGATGGTCAAAATCTCCAGAAAACATTTCTTCTAGTCTCCTGCCTTTGTGATAAAGGCCTACTTACCAGTATTCTGGGAGCCATGTAGCAGCAAATAAACATGCTTTCTGTCTCCCCACTTTCAGTATGAAATGCCCACCAGAAAGTATGCCTAATGTCACTCAACCCAGAAACAATTTTACTATGAATAAACATCCAATCTTCGGACCTCTGTTTGGTGAGGGAAAAGATAAAAACACCTAGCAACACATTTTAGGGGAGATACTACTCTAAGATCCTACTTTTTCTAAAATAGCTTCAATTAATTCTTCATATTTTAGTCCCACTCTCAACTCAATTTCTAGAGGTTCCAAAAGACTTTTCATGATTTTGCTAAGTAAGTTGATTTTGCTAAGTAAATTAGATAGGTCAATTTTCAACTGACTGAGGATTTGACTTTCTCAGATCTGCTCAGTTACCATTCATCTACCCGTTTTTCAGATTGTAATGTTTCACTGCTATAGTCTCATGTCCTGCTCTTCTCATCCTTGCAGATGTCTAACTTTTTAAAAATTCCTTTACTATAGTTTTAGTGGAGTTGCAGAAGGGAATTAAATTCTATTTGTGTTTTCAATCCATCATTCCCAGATGCTAAAGTATCAGTTTTTTAACTAACATGATAGTGTGGCTTTTGCTGGACACTACAAATGAAGCTAAACACAAATTTAAAGTAAGAACATGCTAACTTGAAAAAAATAAGGGTTTGCATTTTACTGTATCCTTTACAAGGAGTCAAAAATTTGTTTTTAAAAAAATGGAATTGAAAGATGACATCTGTATTAGTCTGGGTACTTTGGAGAAACAAATCCACAGCAACTCATGTATGAGAGAGTTTTATGTAAAGAAAGTGTGCATCACGAAAACATCCTAACCCAATGCTGCCCAAGCCCACAAGTCCAACATGAACCCATTAACCCAACACCAGTCCACAAAGTCCTCCACCTCACAAAACAGAGGCAATGATGCCGACTGCAGGAGGAAAGCTGAGTCAGTAAACGAATAAGCATCTCAGCACTAGCAGGGGTCTCCACACAGCTGCTCCAGCACCCAGGGCTGCATTGGGATAGGTCCATGTGGCTTCTCCTTGGGGATGTCTTGTAGGAACTCAATCTTGCAAGCTGAAGCAGGGAGCTGCATCACAAAGCAAGAGACCTGAGAACTAGAAAGGCGAGGCTCACCACCCATTTATTCCTCCGCCTTTCATTTAGCCCCACATGTGATTATCGGCCAGGTTGGCACAATTAACTAACTCAACATCTTTCCATAAATCTTTTGAAGCCTCTTAATACATTACTCTCCTTATTTTCCTCCCATTATTTGTTTTACAATAAACATCCCTCTTGAATCTGTCTCAGCACAAGAAAATAGTTGATTTCTATTCAAAATGGTCAATCCTAGTCCATTTCAGCACTAATGCCTAGAATATCAATCTTTATGTATTCCATTTCATTTTTAACAACTTCCAATTTTCCTAGATTTATACGTTGTACAACCCAAGTTCCAATTATTAGATTTTTGCAGCTGTTTTTTCTCACCCTGAGTTGTGCCCCATCAGCAAATGAAGATCCTGAAAGTTCTACTTCCACAAGTTTTATTTACTCCATTCACATCACCATGTTTGACTCTATTTTGAGAAAGCAGCTCTTCCTCAGTCACATTTCAGTATCTGAAAGTGTTTCCATGCTATGTATAAGGTTTTCAGTGGCCATTTCCTGTGAAGTTAGCAGCCAATTCATCTCTATAGTCAGTCAAGTCTGACAAAGTCTGAAAGCTCCGCTGAATCCTGTTTACTTTGGATGACCCAGCTGGCATTTGAAATACCAGTGAACTAGCTTCCAGCATCATTAGCAACACACAACCCACCACAGTACAACAAACTGATAGATTAAGTGGTAGAAAGTCACATAGAATGGCCTTTATTACCCTCAAAAAATGAGTGGATACATTGTCATGATGGGGCAAAATTTTTCAACATTCCTAGCCTTTTTTACATCAATTTAGTTTTCAAATTCCTGAAAACATCATAATAAGCCCTATTGATTTTCTTGCATACTTCAAGAAAATCTATCGAGCTTATCCATTTAGAATTCTAAAGAAAAACCAAACAAAACTGTTTTCATTATCTTCTAAACTAACCTCTCTGCCTCAAATTTAGCTAGTTAGCCAAGCAGCTCTTCTTTAAAGCTGTTTTGGCTGTAACTTATTTTGAAGGCACCCTAATGTACAGAGACATGTGTATTCCTGAGAGAACTTGTTTATAGCCATCTATTAATTTAAGAGACATATTTAAACATATTTTATTGGGAGTAAACCAATGTATGTTTGAACTAGAACCCTAAAAGTAATACTTTTTTTATCCTCGAGTATATACATATAAAATTACAGAAGTTGTCCTTCCCTTCTTCTTCCTGAACAATTCAGCCCTAAGACCATTAGGAAGTGCGTGGAAGAAGACTCAAAGAGGGCCACAATACTGTGTTGGAGGCTGAGTAAAAGGGACATCCACACAGAAGGCCTGCATGGCCTGGGTTTCAGAGTCTGACTGGGGAAAGGTATCCGCACCTGGAAGCAGCTCAGGGCAGAGGCAGAGCCTAAGCAACAAGAAGAGGGTATCCAGGGGAGGAAGGATAACCTGGCATGAAACCCAACCCCCAAGTGGGGTGAGGAAGCTGTCTCTCTGAAATCCTATCTGGTAATAGCTGATGGTGCATAGTAAAGAGAGGCCTATGCCGGTAATCAGTCTAAACAACGTGAGGAGGCATCTGTGGGGAGGCAAAGAAGACCCACAACATGGCACAGAGAATCTAATCACAAGTTGGGGAAATCCCATCCAAGATGGATAAAATGAGCAAGTCATCTGCATGAGGGAGAGCATAGTACCACTGTTGGGAGATTGGGCACATAGTGATCGGTTACGTAATGTCTTTAATGATTGGGAATATAATATATATACATAAGTAAATACACCAAGGATTAGGAGAGTTGAGCTTCTCACAATTGGGGAAGAAAGTTGCAATACAGAAAAGGTGAAACTAAAGAAACCTTGTGGTACTGAATTGGAATTAGGGGCATCGGTGCAAACTCACTGCCCTCAAAAGGATATGTGGATAAAAACAGAACTAAATACAGATATAAATGTTATCAGATGGATATAAAGATGGACAATAGATACCTCTGTACACAATGAGTAGCAATAGCAATGAGCACACCTAACAGCCCAGGCCTTGGTTTCTAAATAACACCCTCCACTAAAAGAAACCAAGAGTTCTTTGCTAGTTGCTGAGCTAGAGCAGGGAAAGTATAAACTGAACAACAACAACAAAAAGAATAAAAGAAAGTATAAACTGAGTCTAAAACATCTGGCAAGAAGCAAGAAAGTGTTCAAAAACTCATGAGAGTAAGCCAGAGGACACAGAAGTCAACACAAAAGCACTCAACTAGCCAAATTTGGGTCAATGTTGGCCTCAAAAATAACTAAATAAAGGTAGTAAAGAATTACATCTTAGTAAATACATAGAGCACCATAAATCCACATTGAAACAAATAAATGCAGGAACAGGATATTTAAATAATGTGAAGTATTTCCTCACAAGATAATTTATTAAATACAATGGGGGAAAGTTACTTTACAAAGTGGTGATGCCTAATAGGTACCACTTTAATCAAGTAAATAAAATAAAATACGACTGCAATGAAGCAATACAAAATCATGCACCACTTGTAAATATATATTGAGAATACAGCCTCATTTCTGTGATATTCCTGCCAAAATTATATTATCTAAATCTAATCATGCAGGAACACACCCAAATTAAGAATATTATGCAAAATCACACCTAAAATTAAATAATGGCAAAATCATTAAAGTTCAGGAAAATCAGAAGCCTTGATCAAGATAAAATGACACTAGAAAGTTGGCATCTAAATGCAATATAAAATTCCAAACCAGATGCTTTGCTATGAGGATACTAGTAGAACAACTGAAGAAATATGAATGAGTCTAAGGATTAAATGATAGTAACATATCAGTGTTAATTTCTTAATTTCGAATAGTCAAAATGTGGCCAACTTGAGTGTGAATTAAATCATTAGGATAAGGTGTTTTACTGTAATATGATTATGTTGAATTACAAAATGCACACTAACATATCTGGAGATGAAAGGGCATTATATAGCAAACATAGCCAAAAAGCAGCTCAAAAGCAGACACAAAAAATTACATTATACTTCCAATTTTTATAAAGTTGAAATTATTTTAAAACTGTTTTTAGAAAAGTGAAGAAAGTTAGGAATGTAAGGAAAGACCATATCATTAAAATTCTGTATATTATGCTAGAAAGAACAAACCAAAAATTGTCATCAAGTTGTTTCAGACTCATGGTGACCCTGTAAGAACTGACCCATAAGGTTTCCAAAGTTTTAATATCTAGAGAAGCAGCAAGCTGGTTGTCATGTCTCCCCCACTGAATTCCTGTTTAACTAGTAACTGTGTGCTTCACCATTACCACTGGGAATCCGTATACTATGTTAAATAATTTTCATCTCATCCTGAATGCTACCAGTAGATGTAAGATATTAAGTACAATGGTGGCATGATCAAAAGATCATGGTAAAAATGGTTATTTTCTTTTAGAAATAAAAATCCCTCCAGGCATTA